GGCGCCGTCGGCGATCCGCGGCACCGCCGGGCCCGCGCCGTCTTCCGCGGGGGCGGCTTTTGCGCACTAGGGCCGCTCCGTCGTGGGGATCCCCCCCCAAAGAGTAACGAGGAAAAAAACCAAACAAAAAAACAATTTAAAAAGAAAAGACGCGTGTAGGACCGGGGGACGGTGGCTGCAAATCTGCGGCCACTCTTTTCTAAGGTTGGAAACTGAACCCCGACAGAGGCCGGCGTGTCGCAGGACTCTCCAAATTGTTTGGGGTTGGGTATACGCTCCTCTCTCGAAGAAAAATTTGATGCTGTAATTTCCTACAAACTCGAGGGAGTAACTTGTATCCGCTATGGTGTTTGCTTTGGTAACTAATCGCTAAACGCCTGGAGACGAAATATTTTTAATTAAACTGTAAATTGTACACAGATATTGATAATGAAGAAGCTGACAATGTTTCGATTAGGTCCGTGACATCATCTTGCGTTAGCCTGGGAAACAGTCACAGCCTTTCACTTCGGCCTCGAAATGCTCTCGATAATTTTGTTTTATTTTATGCTAAACATTTCCTGAGATCATTATTTAGGTTTCGAGCCTCTTTTTATTTCTTTCGCAGATACACACCTTTCCTTACCTATCCCTCGCTTTAAGAAATGGAGACACTGTTAACGTCAACATTACAAAAATTCAGAGAGATGTGGAAGTCTTTAGGGATGGGGCAGTGACTAGGGGGGTAGGAACTGTGCGGGACCTGTCTGTATTTTTTAGCGCAGAATAAAATACGGAGGAGCTTCGTGCACCCAGGGAAAACGAACAGAGGTGAGTAACGGATGTCTTTCGGAGACGTGTGGTTCAATGGCTCTGAATTCTTACAAATACGTGTGTGTGTGTGTGCGTTAATTGCAGGAAATAAACCAACCCGCCGTGGAAATTCTGAACTTGTAAGGAAAAAAAGCTCGTGGTGCTCGCTTCCAGGGCCAGACACGCAACGTGCTTAGCAGAGAGGTGTCGTGATTTTAAAAGTTTCCTACGAGCCTGCCCGGCGTCCGGCTGGTTTTAGCTCACCGACCGCACGCCCGCACACACGCGTGCAGGCCCGCGGCCGGTCCCGGCCAGAGGCCCCCACGGCACGGTCCCCCTCCAGCACCCCACGGGGGACCGCGACACACCGCGGC